TAGGATGATGAAAAAAAAAGAATCTTTTTTACCTCTTAACTCATTCATTTTTAATGACTTTTTTTTTGTAAAGTAATAGTAGTGACAAGTTTTTGTTAATGAAGAAGTTTGTCCAAAAATATGAGAATGATATGAGCAAGTAAAGTATATAAGAAAATTAACAACAGAAGAATAAATAAACATAGAAAAAAAAATTGCAAATGAGAAAAAAATTAAAACAAAAAAAAAAAAAAATTGTATTACCTTTGACACAAATTTTTTGTTTGTTTGCTTTAAACACGCTTTTTAGAGCATAATTTATATGGTCCTTACAAAAAATTGTCTTTATCTTCTTATTTGAATTGGATAGGCCTAGCTGTGTTTGTTTGGAATTTGGACTTTGAGCTGAGATTTGAATAGTAAAAATTTTGAATTTGAATAGTTATATGATATGATATAAATAAGTGTTGATGTGATGTTTTGAATGTAAAATTGATTTTTAGTATAATATGAAAAATAAAAAATAGGTGTTTAATTTGGTGTTTTTTGAAGAAAAAAATTGGATGAACACTGGATTTAAAATCCAATCCCCCAGACAAACACACAATTATTGTGTTTATATTTGTTGATGGGTGACATAAATAGATATATTTTGAAAAGTATAAGAGTTAGTTCATGGGATGGAATTTTTTTTTTTTTTTTGAGAAATTGAATGTGTAATTAGTTGTGACGTACATGCAAATAAGTACTCCCTCCGTCCCACATAATTTGTCCATATCTTTTATTTTCGTCCGTCCCACATAATTTGTCCTTTCTATTTTAGAAATATAATTATGCACTTTAATTGCATTTTAAATTTTAAATTTTATAATTTTCTTAATTTTAATTAAACTATTTATTTATCTTAATCTTAATCTATAATTATTTGTATTAAATAATAATTATTTTTACTAATATACTTCTTAATTACTTACTAATTATACTTTACCTAAATTCCCGTGTCTACAAAAATACACCCATATTACATGGGACGGAGGGAATATAACGTTAAAAGAATATAAATTAAATTTTTTGAAAATATGTAAATAAAAAAAAAGTATGAATTTAACTGATAATAAATTTTTTTAAAAATCATATATATATATATATTGTTTCCTGGCTAACATAAGCTTAGACTTGTATTTAGAGCAAACAAGGTGAAACAATTTTAGAAGACTTCACCTTTATACTCGAGGCTTTTTTATCGACTATTTAAACTTATGATTTTGCAGTTATCTGAATTGCGAAATTTAAGAATCGACGCTCTTGAGAGAAAGCCTCATGCAGTTGAAACGACTTCGAATATCTTTTTTTTTTTTTTTTTTTTCTCACGTCCATCTCCCTCAAACAGACAAACATTTCATCACTATCCAATCTCAATCAATATTGTCGTTTCCTTACAAGTGAATGCTCTATATCTCATGAAATTGTCTTTTATAAGTTTTAAAGTAATTGATTGTGTACTTACTCTCATTTCATCACTATCCAATCTCAATCAATATTGTCGTTTCCTTACAAGTGAATGCTCTATATCTCATGAAATTGTCTTTTATAAGTTTTAAAGTAATTGATTGTGTACTTACTCTCAGCTACCTTCAAATCTCAGTATCATGCAATCAATCAAAAACATCGTCTTATTCTTTATTTTTCAAAAAACGGGATTTGGGTGGTTTCGACTTTGAATTCTAATTTTGATTTCGATTTCAGTTTCAACTATTGGACGAGACCGAGATTGTTGTGTAAGCTTCCTTCATTGTTTATTTCAAACACTTCATCAATACAATTGGGTGAAGTTTCTATATATACATTTCATATTCATACATTTGTTGTTGATACACTTCTGTTGTTGTTGCTCCTCCTATATGATTTCACTACTAAATCTTTAAAACAATTTGCCGAGATTCGGACAGAGGTTAGGCCTAGAAAGATTATTTTCAATTCAATTTCGAAAAAGAGGCGAAGAAATTGAATGAAAGTATATTGGCAAAATGATACGAAACAAACTTGTGAGATTTCATTGAGACAAAAATAAAGCCACCTTATATGATTGAAAGTTAAAGGAACTAAAGCTTTTTATTTGGCCTTCATACTTAAGCTATAGAGACTTTTTTAATGTACAAAATGACTGTGTTTACTGTTAGACTTAAAATTGGGTTAAATGCAATAAGATACTATTAATTTCAATGTATTCACTTTAAAAAGGAGTTTGAGGGTCACCGGGCCCCCAAGTTTTAAATTTTGTTTAATTTTTTAGTATATTTATTTTTTTTTAAAAAAAATACTCCATCCGTTCCAAACAATGTGCAACGTTTGTTTTGGATACGAATTTTTAGGTGGGTAGTATATTAAATAAGATAATTAAAAAATTAAATGATGTGACTAAGAGAGAAATATATATTTTATTTTTTTTATTTGGGTGATGAGATGAGATAAAGGGCGGAATAGAGATTAAATATAATTAATTATTTCCTATTTTGAAAATATTGCAGGGTATTTGAGATATAAAAAAAAGAAAATATTGTATAGTGTTTGGGACGGAAGGAGTATCAGATTAGTAAAGTTTATCGACAATCAGCCCCTTGATATTTGGGGTTTAGACAATTGTTTGTTTAGTGGTTTGATTTATTTATTTTTTTAAAAAAAAGAAAATTACGAAGATATAAGAAATTGCGTCAATAATACAAAAACATACGCCCTCCATTTGCGTCTAAGGGTCACATTTATGCGTCATTGTATTTAATATTAAAAATATTCTTATATTTGTATAATTTTTTTATACAAATATCCTTCTATTAGTATTATAAAATGCTAATAAAAATACTTTTGTAATTTTTTTTATTTTAGTAAATGAGACATTTTGAGCCGAAAGGAGATAGTAATATTTTATATTGATGTTAAATTTTTTGAAAAAAAATAAAAAATACATATTAAAAAAAAATGTGTGCAAACAAATTTATATTGGTAACTTTATTTAAATATAGCGGTTAAGATGCAATCAGTGATTATAATTTTTTTAACCATGACACCAAAAGTAATTAAAACTTTTTACTATGGAAACAAAATTGATTATTTTTTATATTTTTAGGGACTACTTTTTATTTTTTTCCATAATTAAAAATACTCATTACTTAAAACTAAACTAAAACATACAATAATGTGTTATTTTAACAAAATCTATATATATATATATATATCGAAAATATTACTATATTACGCATATACATTATTTCTCGTATTAATCATTTGTAACTTAGCATTAAAAATTTTTCTTTCAAAAGAAGAAAATAATAAAGAAATCAAATACCTTTACCAAGGTTAATCCGCCATTGTCGTCCTACGACATCCACATTAGAGGTTTCTTCACTGCAGAGAAACTCCCACTTCATTTATTTTATATAAAATAAAATTAACAAGATGACATGAAAATTAAAGGTCAAGAGCTCCCGTGCTCTGCCCAGCAATTCAATGGCAAAATTATTGTATTTAATATTGTCAGTGTTTCAATTAAATTAGGATACATGGTAAAAAAAACAAATAAGAAGCTTTTTTATTATTATTTTTATATAGTTTATTTAAATTATATATATTAATATTTTTTATATTACATAAATTCTTATTTTTATAAAATAATATTAATATTGAATATATATTTTTGTTTATTTAAATATAATTAATTTATTATAATAAATAAATATTGACATATTTTTATTTAATAAAAATTTTAATTAAATATAATTAATTAATAATAATATTAATAATATTTAATTTTGTAATGATCTTATGATTTATTCAATAAATTATAAAAATAATTAAAATAAATATATTTACTAATTGTATTTTTTTAAAAAAAAATTAAAATAAGAACATAATAATAATCATATTAAGGTCATCTCCAACCCTCCACCCCATTTACCGTTGCTACAGTAAAAATGCAGTTGATCTACGGTAATTTTACTCCAACCATAAACTTCAATTTTTACTCTAAAAAGTATATTCTCTATATATTCCTCTTTTATATTATTTTATATAATTTTTCATATTTATAAATTACACCCCAACTTTAATTTATTTTTAATCCATACACATATAATTTATATTTTATTTAAAAATTACATATATAAAAATTAATATTTATAATTAATAACTATTACAAATAAAATTAAACATTATTTTTAAAAAAATTAAAATTATATCACTTTTCAAACAGTAAAATTATATATCAATTTAAAAAATAAAATTATACATTATTTTTAAAAAAATGAAATTATATATTATTTTTCAAAAACTAAAATTATATCACTTTTAAAAAATAAAATTATACATTATTTTTTAAAAAATAAAATCACATACAACTTTTTAAAATATAAATTATATATTAACTACTAAAAAATTAAAATTACACAAAGATACCAAAAATATAAAAAACACAATAAAAACTCCACTCAAAAAATGGAGTGAAGTAACAGTGTTACTCCAAAGTAACACTGTGTATATCTGCAAAAATGGGGGGAATTTAAGGGTGAGTTGGAACCCCTCCCCCATTTTTTGTACAACACAGTGGGTTAGAAATGATCTAATAAATATTTGTTATAACATATAATTTAAATTATTAAATAAATATTAATAAATATATATATTAGATAAATTATTATAAACTTTTAATAATTTAATAATATAGAAAAAAAGAAAGAAAAACTAAAGTTTGTATAAATAGGTTTCTTTGACGTGAGTATAAAATGATATGAATTTTTCCATGGAGAAGAAGATAGATGGAAGAAACCATTATGGGTTTCATTGACATGGATGGTCTTAGCTGAGCTATTCTTCTTCAACAGCAATATTCTGTGCAGCAAGGAAATCGGAATGAATGAGAATGACAGCTGCAGGAACAGTAGTATGGTGTGCGGAGAAATGATTGTCAGATGGAAAGCGAAAGCGAAAAAGCTATGTTAAAGAAAAAAATTAAAGCCAAAGCAAAATGATTCCGATTCCCCGTACCAGAGAGACATGGCCATCATTGCTGCTTCCTCTGCCTACTCTCCTTTTCATTTTCCCCAAATCTCTCTATTAGTTCAGATCCAGTGGAGTTTCGCTTCCAATTTCAAGCCGTTATGACGCAGGAAGCGCCGCCAGGAGTCCACGCCGTCGATTTCCGTGCGCCGCCGCCCTCTCCGGTGGCGCCGGGGCGGCGCTCGTCGTTCGCGAACGACGACGTTTTGACGGAGTACCTGCAGCAATCGCTCAGAGTTCCCGACCTCGTTCTCCCCGACAAGGTTTTCCCCCGCCAGAAGACTCTCCAAAACCCTCCGAAAATCAGATTTCGGGATTTGGAATCGCTGGGGACCGGCCCTGAAGGAGCAGAGATTTGTCGATTGATTGCGCAGTTAGGGTGCTTGGAAGTGATTAACCATGGAATATCTAGGGATTGGATCGATTTCGTTATGGAATTGGGGAACGGCGTGTTTGAGCTCCCGCCGGAGAAGAAGCGAGTGGTGGCGAGGTCGCCGGAGCGGCGGTATGGATTCGAGGAGAGTGACGAGGGGGAAGAGGTTAGAGATCGAAGGGAGGAATTTATATGGATGGGTGAAGAAGAAATGCGGGTGGAAATGGAGGGAATTTGGCCATTCAGATATTCGAATTTCAGGTAAAAACAAAACCTTCCGGTCTCCAATAAAGCAATTCAATATTATAAGTGTGTTTATTTTTTATTTTAGTTTTTATTTTGATTTTGGTTTTGGTTTTGATTTTGATTTTGAATATTAAAATTTTGAGTCGAGATGGTTTTGATGAATATAAATATTTATATTCCCTCCATCCCAGAAAAGATATCTTATGGGAAGTCAGCACGAGAATTAAAAGAGTTGGTATAAAATAAAAAGTAAAATACTAAAATACAATTTATTTTTTTCAATGATTTTAAAAAGTGGGTTAGAATAATAATTAGAGGGAGTTTGGAAAAATAGAATAATTTTGTTATAAAGTGGAGACCATAATTACTAAATATGGAAACAAGACAATTGTTTTGGACGGACGAAAACGAAAAAACAAGAGAACTCTATTGAGACGGAGTATAAATAAAAACAAGTATTTGATTTGATGTTTTCAAAAAAAATTACTATCTACTTCTTATTTAAAGGTTGTCATTTTCCATTTTTTTTTTACTAATGTTACAACTTTTTAATTTAAGTAATTGTACTACCTACTAATATAATAAATATCCTTCCAACTTATACTATATTTATTATACAAATATTATTAATTTTATATTACACAATACTAATAGAGGTATTTTCGTCTTTTTCACTACAATCCATCGTAATTCTAATATTAAAAAATTTACGTGTAAAAAATAAACGACAATCATGGATAAAATTCCATAAGTAAACAAATAGTGTCTTTGGGATTTGATGAATAGGGTCTCTTTCTTTTGATTTAGTTTGAAAATTTTTTTATTCGAGTTTGACATTAAAATAATGTATAATGTGATATTTTGTGAAAAGAAATTTTTTTTTCCCAAAAATACAGAGTTCAAATAATAAAAAATTGATGTTTGATGGTTAAAGAAACACACTCATAGGTTTTGATTTGAACAATAAAATTTTAATATACTCTAGTCCTAAGTGGGAATTGATACTAAAATTGAATTTTAATTATAAAAAATAAAAATAATAAATATTTGATGTAATATTTTGAAATATTTTTTTTAATAGTTGTTTGCTAATATTTTTTTCGATACAATTTTTAGTTATATATTTTATTCATTTATAATAATTTGATATTGAATATAAAATATTAATCCCTCCGTCCCAGACACCATGTCCATTATGCCGTTTTGTTCGTCCCACATACCATGTCACTTTTCTTTTTTAGAAAATGATTACACACTTTAAATCTCATTTTAAATTTTTTAATTTTAATTAAACTAATTAGTTATCTTAATCTTAATTTATAATTATTTATATTATAAGATAATTATTTTCACTATTACATTCTTAATTATCTACTAATTACACCCCTCCTAAAATACTCTCTTAAAATATCGTGTCTACAGTGTAGCAGACACAAAGTATTTTATATTACATATATTTTATATTAAAAAAATTATTTTAAATTAAAACACTAAATAAACACATTTGAGTAAGAGAAATCAAAATTAATAAATGAATCATTTTTCTTTCTGATTAATTTATCTTCAATATAAAAAAATATAAAAAAATAAAAATAAAAATGAAAAATTTGAAATAGTATGTATGTATTTTTATTAATTTATTCATTATTAACTATTTAACTTTTACAATGTTCACTCCAATATATAGTCTCTTCTAGGTGGATTTATCCATATATTATACTACATCCGTCTTACTCTAAAGATTTTATTTATTTTTCTTGTGTTAAAATGATATTTTAATGATAAATACAATGAAACAAAAGTTAAATGTGATCGTTAGGGAGAGGTGGACGGAGGGACGATGGAGTATTTTTTTTCTATATTTCTTACGAAGAATCAATTCTCATTCTTTAACAATTCAATTTGTTGCTATCATTAAAAGCACCCTAATTTTCAGCCAGGAAATGGCGAAGCTGTCAGCTGAGATAGCAGAAATAGGAAGAACAGTGGTCCAATTTCTAGAGCAGCAGATCGCAATGAGGATCCGCCATGGAAGTGGGGAGGAAGAAGGTTCAGGTTCAGAAAATGTGTGCTGCTGCAGTGTGCAGAAACACCAGAAAAGGAGAGTGGAGGAAGAAGAAGGAGAAGGAGAGATGAACGTAAATGCAGTGAGATATGATGTAATAAGAATGCTGATAAGTGGGGGTGAATTCCCACATGCATTGTGCCTCCATTTGTGCAGTGGTGCAGCAGACTTCCATGTTTACTCCAGAAAAGGTTGGATTTCATTCTCCCCTGATCAAGATTCTCTGGTGGTCACCATTGGAGACATGATGCAGGTACCTACTACTACTACTACTGCATCATCGATATGCATATTATATAGTAGATCAAAAACATCGTAGTTTAGATATCGAAAAGACACAGGAAGGAAGCTTTAATCAAGAAATAATGAAAAGATTTAAGGGCCCTTTTGGTAGAGTAGTATTGTGATGTTTGAATGATGCAAATAATTGTGTTCTTGGCCAAAATGGAGCTTTAATAAAGAAATAGTGAAGAGATTAAAGGGCCCTTTTGGTTAAGTAGTATTTGGATGTTTGAATGGTGCAAATAATTGTGTTCTTGGCAAGAATGGAGCTTTAATCAAGAAATAATGAAAATATTAAAGAGCCCTTTTGGTTGATAAGTATTGTGATGTTTGAATGATGGAAATAATTGTGTGTTCTTGGCAAGAATGGGGCTTTAATCAAGAATGGAGCTTTAATCAAGAAATAATGAAAATATTAAAGAGCCCTTTTGGTTGATAAGTATTGTGATGTTTGAATGATGGAAATAATTGTGTGTTCTTGGCAAGAATGGGGCTTTAATCAAGAATTAATGAAAAGATTAAAGGGCCCTTTTGGTTGAGTAGTATTGGGATGCTTGAATGATGCAAATAGTTGTGTTCTTGGCAAGAATGTAGCTTTAATCAAGAAATATTGAAACGATTAGAAGGCCCTTTTGGTTGAGTGGTATTGGGATGTTTGAATAATGCAAATAATTGTGTTCTTGGCAAGAAGGAAGCTTTAATCAAGATTAAAGGGCCCTTTTGGTTGAGTAGTATTGGATGTTCGAATGATGCAAATAATTGTGTTCTTGGCAAGAATGAAGCTTTAATCAAGATTAAAGGGCCCTTTTGGTTGAGAAGTATTGTGATATTTAATGATGCAAATAATTGTGTTATTGGCAGGAATGGAGTGATGGGCAATACAAACATGTGATAGGAAGGCCTGTCTTCAAAGGTGAAGTTGAAGAAGGTAAGAAGAACAATGGTAATATTTCCATGGGTTTTCTCTATTCTCCCCCAAACATTAGTGTTAGAGATGATGATGATGGTGACACAGTTGTAACCATTTCACTCACAAACCAAATCATTCTTGCCCTGCTTCTTATTATGATCTACCAGTTCTCTGTTTTTGTCTACACAAGATTTTTTTAAGTGTTTGGGGTTTGGGTACATTTGTTTGACAAATGTTGGTATTATTGATTGTTTTGGATCGCGAATTGAGTGTAAATCTAAGGAGTTGTGAGTGGTTTGTGAGCATTTGTTTCTTGCCTACACTTGTAAGGATAGATATATATATATATATATAGATAGAGAGAGAGAGAGAGAGAGAGAGTTTCTTGAAAGAGATTGCCTTTGTATCTTTGGTACCAGATCCCTGCAAATTAAATTCAACTTGTGTTCTAAATTAATCAACAGTCAAATTAATAAATTTAATTTATGCAACATATTATCAAGAAATATATGTATACACAGACCACTTCATAACAGTTATATTATCAAACAACTATTCAGACTATACATATGAAGACAACAGTATGTGTGAATACATGCAATTAAACTTATATTATAAAAGTAATTAATTAATTCATATACCTAAATACCTCATACATTATAAATTTAAAATTTAAAACTGTGACGAACAAAGCATCTGTGTGCTAACAAAAACATATTTTGTATTATAAAATATCATATATGAATTATATAAATTCCAAACCTAATAATCAAACTAGAAGAATCACAAATCCACCCCGACACCACCAAACCATACGAGACTCACCATAAATATTTTTATTTTTAACTTACGACATGTAACTATCATCAAAACATATATATATCCAATTCAGCATAAAAAAGAGAATTGATATGTAAATATCAACAAGGTGCCAAAATTTACTCCAAAACCCAATATTTCAAAGCCCAAATGTTACTTAACAAAAGAAAGTTTTGAAGATCTAGTGAGAAAAGGAATTTGGAGACCGAAAAAGAGGCATTTGTAAGAGAACAAAAATCAAATTTTAAAATGAACAAATTAGAAAGGAAAACTCCTAGGCAAGAATTTCCAACAAACACACACATTAAGCCCGAGTATATAATCAATGGCCAATCACAAGAAAACAGCAAAGATTCGAACCATGTTTAGAGAATAGTAGAGAACCATGATCCAAAGGGAGCAATTAGTCGTAAAAGTATAGCTACGAGCAATTACATGGTACTAGATTAGCAAAAGCACACTAGCTCTAACCACATACCTTTCACACAATGGGCGCATAATTAGGTATCAGCGCATTCCAACACCTGTAAAAATTGATATAAAACATACAAATGTATATTGTATGTACTCAACTGAGAGTGCATTTTAAGAGAGGGCAAGAGAATATTGAAGCCACCTAGCATAATACATTTAAGAAAATAAAATAAAGGATTTCCATAGGGTTCCCAAGCAGGGCAAGATCGATATGATTGAACTTCTTATAATATGTCATACATCCAAAAGATTATTCCACATAATGAAGGCTGCACATCATCTGAACATTTAGGTAATGGGAATAAAACAGACACCCTCTTAAACGACTTCTTTCATGCATACGCATACGGGTCATCTGAAACTACCAATCAAAATGCACAACAGGCAAACAAGACCCCCAAAATAAGCTTCTGTACCGTTACCATAAACTAACCTTGCTCCTCCAAAAATTTCACAAACCTGGACCATACTCCCTACAGAAATCCAGGTCTTTCCCTTCCCCCCTAATAAGTTGCTAGTACGGAATGAAGTTGCTCGAGATTAAGAAACAGTACGTCCATAACAAACAGAAGCAATGTATAGATTCTTCGCCCATTTCTCCTGCATCATAAGAATATAAAGTTCAGTTTATATTGTCTCGGCTGTGCCAAGAATGAAAATAATGCAAATCAAGGAAAATAATTTTATTTTTTTTTTACAAATGATTGAATTAACCTTGACATGGTTACTGGGGAAGGCAGATGTACGGAGCGTCTCCTGTGTTTCATCCACTGGTTTTCTTTTTGGTACGCTTAAAATAAAAGCAGCTTGATCAGCAGTTGCTGCAGTAGCAGTTATACGGTACCCCATATCCCATCGGCGATGAATGCCCTCACTTGGATAAAGAAAATCCAGTTCAACAACCTATCAAACAAACACGATATAAGACGACATGGGAAACTGAGAATTCATTACAAAGAAAGTGGATTTGCGTGCGGAAACCTGGTCTTGGAATCCCGTGCCACGGGACATTACCACTGCCCATCTTGCCCCAGCTGTGGCCATGGAGGTGACATAGAACCCTTCCTTCCACTTCTTGGTTATCCACTTGAATGGAAATGACTCGCTTACCTTGTACGACTGTTGCAAGTACGATGTGCCTGGATTGGGTTGGAAGTCACAATATGAGCAAAGCAGAATCCTAATGCGTGGAACAAAACTAGCTTGCTCGATATTTACCTTTTGACATGACTATTAAAGAACTACCATTTGTAGTCCCTGCAATTGCAGTGATGTAATAATTCTTCTCCCAATGTTGCATTATCCAGTCCTGTATATGCAATGAGTATGAAATATAAAAAAAAATACACTCGACGTCAACTGAAGTGAAAGTACTTGGAAAATACAAATGGAACAGACCTTATGAAGAAAGAACGGAGATAGCTGATAAACTTGTGCTGAGAAGCCAGTACCCGCATCCATAATCAGTGCCCAAAGATTTTGAGCAGATGAAACACAGCTGATGAGCAAGCCATCTTCTGTTCCCTTCTCTATGTGCTGAGGTAACCTCGCATCCATCACATTGTAGTGATACCTTTGAGGCAAAGCACAAAAAAATAATAGTCGGTTACACATTATACTCGAGCAAAAACCAATTTAGCATTATTAAATAACAGTAAAAGAAAAGGAAAAACTACTCCATGCCACCAGGTAAAATCAAATCATGAAGCAAACATCCATGGATGTCGCAGTAGGCAACAGATACCTTTGTTTCATTGGTTTACGAGCATTATAAATGCTAATCCACTGTGTTGCAGGCATCCCCATGCGAACTTTCTTTTTTGGTTGTTCATCGTCCTCATCTTCAATAGTAAGTCTTCCTCTCTTGTGACCAACCTGATAGATAAGCTGCATTTCCACAAAAAAAAAACATATAAAACATAAAATTAGTAATGAAACCAAGTGAAGTGCTATGACAAGATGCAGATATTCGTGAGTGGAAATTAAAAGTACAAACAAGCACCTTTTGGGCACCCTCGGTGTTGATGGGTCTGATATCTGGATTTGGTCCAACTATCCCATCGAAGAGGGAGACGCATTTGGCATAATTAGGTTCCTCATCAAATTTCAAATTTACAACATATTCCACAAACAGTTTAAAAGGTTGTGGACAAAAGCAGCATAGAGCCTCTGGTGATGTTGCCATTTTCTTCTTGCACACAAGAAAACCTTTGTTTTCACCCTGTGTAAAACGTGTGGTGAACATAAATGAAATGCACCTGAAGATACGTCAAAATTGAATTGGACATTGTCTATCAGCACTGATATTTCAAAGCACATACCTGATACCCTTGCCAAGGCAGGCGCCCACGCAAGAGAAAGATTAAAGTATAAGCTAGAGACTCTAAATCATCCCTTCGACTACCAGCTCTACCTAAATGAGCATGAACACTAGCATATCGAACAGTCCCCCTGAAATCCAGAATAAAATCCACACAAGTAACATGTCATAGACACAAAAGTAAAAACATAGACAAAACATGAGATTCTAAAACAATTCTAACTAAACATAGGCATACCTGAAAATATCAGGTCGCTGATCATACTCTACATGATGACCTGTAGTTCCATCCCTCCATCTCGTAGCTGTCCATTAAAGTAACTTAGAATAAAGCACTTCAAGCAAGGGAAAATAGATGTATGAAGAATAATGCGAAACAATTAAGTACCTAAACCAAGATCAACCAGATATAGCCTTTTCTCGTTAGGGGTTCCGGGCGGACCAAGTAAGAAATTCTCAGGCTTCACATCCCCATGAACATATCTGGAATTATCATCCAGTAACAAAGAGATCACATAAATGAGCGATGATGCCTAGGCAATATACTAATATTCCCTCTAGCTACAATAGATGAAACAACTCGGCAATGTTCATAAGAACAAACTTTTATGAACAGCAGTAAAAAGAATTCAAAGAAAAGCTGTGTGATGAGCAAACATAGAGCAGCAACAAAAAAACACACTTGTGCATAGTGATTGAACTCACCCTCTTGAATGCAATTTCTCTAATATCGATATCGCTTCAATAGCAATGCAAGCCACCATTTCAACAGACATCCTGCATAAATATCACAATATTTACTCTTAGCAAGGCTATTGGAAAATCAGGAGGTAACTGGGTGGGTTAAACTTATAACATATGTCTAAGATCTAACAGACTTACGCCTGAGCACTGTTATTCCAAGCATCCCACAAGCTTGGTCCAAGCATATCCATGACCTGTAAAAGTCAAATGCTCAAATATTGTCATAACACCAAAAAATTGGAACCTATAAGGCTATAAAGAGCATTTTGGATAAAATGGCCACATGCCATAAGCAATTGTCATACCATCACATAGTACTCTCCTTGTCGGCCTTTGTAGTGCACCCTCGGTACTCCATGACTTCCCCCTAGTGTGCTGCATACATTACAAGTGATAGTTAAGAATAACAACAACTAGTTTAGCTGACATCACCAAAAGGTTGAAAATGCTTACTTGTAAATTTGCCATTCACATGGTGGACCATAATTACATCCTTTACTATTCCGATGTTCAAATTTTAAGGCAACCTGTACCATTCAATCACAGGTATGTTATCTGGTCACGGAAGACGTATTATTATTTGGGATTATTATGATTAAAAATTGTAGAATGAATACCTCTAGGGCTCCAGGACCAGTTCTTTCATGAACATTCCCAGTGATGCGGCGACCGACATAAACCTGCCCGAATCCTCCCTTGCCAAGTTTCCTTTCAACTCTATACATTGGGGAACCACCAACTTGCACCTGTAAAATTGGAACCATTCCCTGGATTAATGTCAAGATGAAAGTATGGAACCCCATAATAGTAGTAGTTTTACCCAATCATCTATGAAACAGGTGAGTGGCATTCCAAATCTTTACCGAAAACATTGATATGACATAGAATCATTTATAATCATCCATTTATTTAAGTTAGATAGCATCCGACTCAAAAAAAGATTAATAACATAACATAGTTAAGGGAATGCTCAAGTGCCAAAAGAAGATTAAGCATCTGCATACAACCAAGAGCCAGCTTAACAGTGGCTGCTAGATATTACTTTTGTCAGTAATTTTTAGAAGACAAGACACAACCGCAAACAAGTTTCACATTTTTTTTTCTTTCCATAAAATAATAGCATATGTCAGGGTTCATACTATGTACATCACCAATATAGAATCACTCTATGAGGGCAGCATAGTCAATTTCTTGTTCCACATACTAGGAAATTTTTCAAGATGGCCATCATTTCGCAATTTTGAAAAATAGGAAGATAAAGCACTTATTGACGTAATAATGCCGGATAACTTTTTCCGACATTCAAGAATCAACTAAAAAATCATTTTACTGTCACTCCAGCTCAGAACATTGATGGCAAGTCATTCAAAACGGTAATATGTAACTTAAAAAACGATCTTAACGTTATCCACTAGCAAACAAGCACAAAATCCATGTTTAATGGAAGAATGATCAAAGTATCAAATGAAAAGATAAACTAGAATCATGTGATTCATCGCAGCCGAACACGTGTAGCATACATATTACATTAATAACGAGACAACAACAGACAACAACACGCAAGCAACCATCCAAAATCACGGGGCATTATAATCGCAGGTTTTCCAGAGAATATACACCTAAAATACAGTCACTGATTGCCACAATCCATTAACAGCATAGATCAAAAACCAGTATTATCCTCAATCAGCACCAAGATTCAAACTTTTAGTTGCAACTCAGTCTAAGAATTATTACACAAGCATATGCAAAAAACCCTTCCAGCACTTCTTTCCATAAATAAATGCAAGAAACATAGCCAACTGAAAACCCTAAATCAGTATGGCGAAAAAAGAACAAATTCAAAAGTTCTCACCTTCTCAGGGACAGGGGAAGGAGCCAATTCATCATCACCACCATTCGCCTTGTTAGGGCTTTTGCCCCCACTGTCACCATCCATCTTTTTCTCACCCACGCCCTCTTTCCGATCCTCCAATCGCCGCCTCTTATCTACAACCGCCTTACCCGCAGGAGCAGCTGCCACTGCCGCCGCGGCGACTAGATTATCATCAACGGGCGCTGCAACCGCCGCCGCCGCCGCCGCCGCTCTTCTCCGCCTCCTGGTTCGGGTAGCAATTGCCTCGTTTTCCTCTATATTCTGATTATCGTTAACGTTATTCACGCCGGCTCGATTATTGTTGCCGCCGTTGTTTTGCAGTCCTTGCTGCTTCCCTCTTCGACCTCTGCGCACTCCACCACGCAGCACCGGCATCGTTCATCCTTCAAATTTCATCCTGCTTTTGCCTTGGTTTCATAAAAAAAAACAAAAACAAAAACAAAAACAAAAACAAAAATTAAAATCAACCGCATAATCGTAACATTCGCTTTACACCCGCTCCACGTACAAATACAGCTCCATCTTTCCACCAATCTCACCATCAAACTGACACTTGCAATTCACCCACACATCAACAATCGCGGAAAAGAAAAAAAAATAAAAAGATAAATAAAAATCCACATACCAAGAATTCGAATTCAATCAAGAATCCAAACGACGATCCTCGCAATGCAACTCGAGAATCAGCCCTCCGCCGCTGCTCGATCGCTAGGGTTTTTCCGATTGCGAGAGAGATGAATTTAGGGATCTATGGCGAATAAAATTCAGAGAGAAAGGGGAAATTAGCAAAACAGGAGTCGATTGTGCTTTCTGAGAAGGGATGGATTAGCCATTGCATAATATATACACGTATTTTATACGTATATTTCTTGAATTCTTCTTATATTTCAAAATTAAAAAATACATAAATAAACAAATCACATCAATATTTTCCGTCCGTCGATTAGCATAAATAAACGGTCCAGATTTCGTACGGTAGAGTCTTTCGATCGAGCTGTGGAAAACATAAGTAGGCGAAGGACTGAAATTACCAAAAAGGGCTTCAGACTGTCTGGAAAATGTGGGCCCTACTCAAGGATGTTTAATCCTGACCGTTGATTTTCTATTAACGGCCGATCGTCAGTCCACGTAGACTTCGGCTAGGGTAGGAGGTTCGTAACGTTTTTATATGCCCCTTCATTTCTCTTAACGTTTTTTTCCATTTTTATTTATATAATTGATATTAATATATAAATAAATGAATGACATATTTGTTTGAATTATATCTATCGTATAATACAATCTGATTCAATTAGAAGTTTTAATCTAATTAAGAATGTTAATTTACTGATTTTTTGAATAATGGGTTGAATTCAAATTTTATTAGAGAAATTAATAAATATATTTAGATATTACACGCTAAAGAAATTTTTAAAAATAAATAAATCTTGCAAAACTAAATAGAACTTCTTCTAGATATATATATATATATATATATATATTGTTATTTGTTTAAAGCTGTTATTATTAAACTATTTATTTTTAATATTTTATGAAATAAAATAATTTATTTTTATTAAAAATAATGTATATTTAGGAGGCTGATAAAAATTGGGAAACATATTGCTGTACAGCCAATAATGTATTTATTTTTATTTAAAAAAAAATATTTTAATGGATCATTTATTTCAAAATAGATGGAGTATTATTTTATTTATATAATATATATTATGTATTTTTAAAAATAACTTAAATATATATATTTATGTATTTAATATTTACTCTAAATTTATAATAAATATTTTGAAATTTTTAACTAGTCTGGGCTTAGACGGGCCTAGTCTGGGCCCATGCTCATTCTGAAGTGTTAAGCTTAGAAGAGGCCTATTGAAAACCGTTTTTTTTTTCAATTTGGTTCTAGTTTTGGACCGGACTAAAACGGGTCGATCCGATTTGGACTGGCCGGGCTGGCCCAATGGACAAGTTGATTGGATCTAGAAACCAATACCTTTCTTTTGCGATTTGGGCTTCGTTTTCAATATTTGGGTTGGGCTTCCATAATAATTTTTATTTTGAATTAATATTTATTCATTTTGATCTATAATAAAATTTGTACTTCAAGTCTCAAACATTCTGTAATTTTCTTTCTTTACAAACATTCAGTAATATTTTTAAAATATAAAATTATTAGTTATATTTAATTTGTATCAGATTATATTATTTAAATAAAAACAAATAAAATATACATTTTTCTTATCATCATATCACATGATATTTCAAAATTATTTGTTTTTCTGAAAAATTGCATAGCTCGAAGGAAGAAAAAGTTTTTTTTTAGCGGTTACAGGCGCATTTTGATATTTAAAAATCACCCGCAATATTAGTTTGGTAAAAGATATTTTCACACATGGCAGTTTTTGATAGGTCATTCACTCAACTGTTACTTACTGTCAGGGTAAAGTTGAATTTCCCGAATAATTCCATGTGGTATATTTGTACTGTTAGATTGATTCATTCCAACGGTCAAAAGATGCTTTCTTAGCATTGTAGGTTTTATATGGATATACAAAATATTTTCAATCTTACTATAAATTGATAATATAAATATTGTATGAAGTTATTATGAGAATATTAATATAAATAATTATAAATATAATAGTATTTGTAATATAAAGTAAATTCATAATTATTAGAAAAATAAATACTTTTTATTTAAATAATAAAAAACGATAAAAATATATAATTATTAAATCAACGACTAAAATATATTTTAGTAATATATAATAGAAATTATATGGCATTAAAATATTGGTGAACACACCCTATAAAAATATTGTACAGCAATTAATATTTATATTTAGTTAAAATATTAATTAAAAATGTCATTATTATTCAAAAGATAATTTCAAATACCTGTATAGAAAATCAAAATTAGTGAAGGTAATTATGGGAAAAAGAAATGTGATTAATTCCAACGAATCATGACATACCACGTGTCCTCAGTCATCCTTTGCTGTTAAGAAACCAATTGAGTGAAACTTACACCTGTGGTCGAGACGAAGAAAAAGCACTGAAAGTGAAACATCATATAAAAAAAATCACCACAATTATTGATTAGAATAATAATTGATGGGAAGATACGAAGCACGTAATTTTTAATCCACTTAATTAAAAATAAAAAAGTGAAGAAAACAAAAAGAAAACAATTATTAGAAATTAAATTAAAGTAAAAAAAGAAAAAAAAAAAGTGAGTGAGCAGTTAGGCCACTCTGCTTTTGGAAAAGCACCACGTTTAATTTCTACGAAGGCTCCAATTATTTCTAAAACGTACATGTTTTGAAGCGCGGCGTACACCTCTGTTCTGCGTCGTCTTCCTTGTTCGGACGCCTTTAAATACCTCTCTCGTGTGCCCCAATCCTCAAACAAAAGCGATCTAATCCACTGCCTGCCTAGTTTAGATTCTCTCCCAAACGATTTCTACAATAATTGCTTTTGAAGTTGTTCAAATGGAGCAGAATTTACCGGTAATGGCAAGGAGATTCTGGAGCGTGGTGCGAGCAGCTTGTTCCGTACTAAGGAAGCGCGTCTCGAAGGCGAGATTGTTGGCTGATTTTAAGATCTACATGATGATGAAGCGAGGCAAGGTCGGCGGCAAATCCGACGTGTTTAATCTCGTGTTCCACCGCCATGAGTCTCAACTCTTCCGCGAAAGTCGCTGCGTGCATCCGGCGGAGCAGGCTATTGACGACGGCGAGCTGTTGAAGGCAGCGATGGAAATCGCTAGCAGCGCGGCGGCGTCGCCTGCTCCTCCTCCGCGGCGGTGGAGTACGCCGGAGGTGAGGCAGTTGAGGATAACGGATTCTCCGTTGCCGTTGCCGGACGTCGAAGAGGACAGTCACGTGGATGAAGCGGCTGAGGAGTTTATTATGAAGTTTTATAATGAATTAAGGCTGCAAAATTCAAATATGTAATTTTAATTTAATTTTAATTTTTTTTGTATTTTCGTCTTATTTATGTACATACGTGAATGTTTTTCTATTTTTCTTTTTGTACTGTATTAAATAAAATAAAAATCTGGAAAGTTTTGTTGCATATTTTTAAATGCAATAAAAATGTAAGTTATTTTAGTTTAATTTGAAATTTATTTGAAATTAGGTTTAATTAAAAATTTTATTTAAATAATATTTTTATTAAAAATGAAACGGATTTAACAATAGTATTTTCGAAAAAAAAAACAAAAAACATATACTACAATCTATTTCTTCATAAAATGCAGGGGTAATTTTGTAATTAAGTAATGTTTTGGGCCGAGTCCAGCAATGCTCCAAAGGCCTAATAAATGCGACGCAACGACGTCGTTTTAGGGGACGTTGTATCTTCCTGAGTATAAATTGGCTGTAGTTGAGATTGACTTGTCAGATTTCACCGCTCGTCTTGTCCTCAGGTCAGTCTGTTTCCGTTTTACTCTTTTCCTTTACGATTGTGTAGTTTTGCTGATCGTAGGAATTAACTGAGATGAATTTCTTATTCTGAGTTTGTTTTGCGTCGATTTCATTTTACTCTGATTGAATTTAGGTTTGGAAAGTTTGTGATTTTTTCGAATTCAATGTACTGGTCGCGATTAGAGCGATGAGATTCAGTGTATTGTGCTTTTGATACACATATTTTCAGTTCCCTATTATGCTTTGTGTTTGCCTTTGGGTAATTTTTCTGTTTCCGAAATGCTGTTGATAATGAAAAGCTTGGGTTGTATTTGGATTTGAATTTTTTGGAATGAAAATATGTTTAGGTGTGATGCTTCTGGTGGTGCGAAAATGTGTATCCTTGTGCAGGCAAATTTGAGAGGGTAAACAAACACCATTTTTGTGTGAATTCAGAGGGGAAATGTGTATTGTTATGAAGGAAAGCTTGGGTAGGAACCTTTTTTCTTTTATCGGAAAGCTTGGGTAGGAACTTTTACATGTGAATCTTGTGGTCATAGAAATCAAGGAAAGGAGAGAAGAGAAAGGTCATTTGTAGGGTTTTCGCCAATTTTACATGCCTGTGTTCGAAACAACGTTAGTGGTATAAAATATAATGAACATTAAGATGAAATATGATCTAAAATTGTGTTGTCTCCTTTAGTTGCAATTTTTCTTAAATCACATCTCTTATTTCCTCAGATTTTTATCTTGTTTCACTAGTTTCCTCGGCAGCCTTGACATCTCAGTAATATATTTGATGTCCTTTTTATGTTGAAGTGCATTTACATTATGTACTCTGCTGCAGTTTTGATAGTGTTTATACACTCTGGCTCCCAATTATGTAGATCAGTTTATTTGTTGATATGAAATTTTATATCTATCTATAGTATATCTATGAAACACTATGATTGTTAATTTTCTCGCATGGTGATTTGGTGAGGTTCTTTATTCTGCATTGTTTACTTTCTTAACACTAGTTTAGAGTGAAAATGGAATATGGCATGTTCTTGTTTTATGCCATCAGTCTGCAACTTTTCAATCATCTTATTTATTTCTATGCGGTGCTTTACTTGATGAGGATTCAATTCATGCTCGATGAAATTCTTGACAACAGTCTGCGTGATCTTTCAACAGCAAAAGGAGCCAAAGCAGTCGAATTTGAACCTTTTTAATTCGTATTCAGCGAAAGCAAGCATGCCGGGGCAAAAAATTGAGACTGGTCACCAAGATGTCGTTCATGACGTGGCAATGGATTACTACGGAAAGCGTCTCGCCACAGCATCTTCAGACAATACAATCAAAATAATCGGTGTCAACAACTCCGGATCTCAGCATCTCGCAACCTTAACTGGTCATCAAGGACCGGTGTGGCAAGTCGCCTGGGCACACCCCAAGTTCGGGTCACTTCTCGCGTCCTGCTCTTACGACGGGAAAGTCATAATCTGGAAGGAAGGCAATCAAAACGAGTGGATCCAGTCCGAATCATTCGACGATCACAAAGCCTCCGTCAACTCCATCGCATGGGCTCCTCACGAGCTCGGCCTCTGTCTTGCCTGCGGATCCTCCGACGGCAACATCTCCGTCTTCACCGCAAGACCTGACGGCGGATGGGACAAATCAAGAATCGACCAGGCTCATCCAGTCGGCGTCACTTCTGTTTCATGGTCCCCGTCAACAGCTCCCGGCGCTCTCGTCGGCTCTGGTCTTCTCGACCCCGTTCAGAAGCTGGCATCTGGCGGATGCGACAATACCGTCAAAGTTTGGAAATTCGATAACGGGGTTTGGAGGATGGATTGCTTCCCGGCCCTTAACATGCACGCTGACTGGGTTAGGGATGTCGCCTGGGCACCCAACCTCGGCCTCCCGAAATCCACCATTGCTAGCGCTTCCCAGGACGGGAAAGTTATAATATGGTCGACAGTGAAGGAGGGCGACAAATGGGACGGGAAAGTGCTGAAGGACTTCGGCACGCCTGTCTGGAGGGTGTCGTGGTCGTTAACTGGAAACATTCTCGCTGTCGCTGATGGGAATAATAATGTGACTCTTTGGAAGGAGGCTGTCGATGGAGAATGGCAGCAAGTTACTACAGTCGACTCGTAATAATTAAGATTCGATGAACTGTCTTACACCAGGTACGCTTCTCGTATCTTTATATTTCTGACTGTTTTCATTACATGAAGTTTGGTATTGATCTTTGTTGATGTGCTTTTTTGGATCTTGAGCATGAAACCAAATCGTGTGTGTTTTTAATCTCATAGATTTTCTCCTTTGGGACTATATCATGCAGAAATTTTTAACTGCCTTGATCTCTGCTTCTGTTTAATTTGTTTGAGGATTTGATATATTTGAAATGAAAATTGAGTTTTATAATGTAATGCTTTTAATTAACAAGCCGATTTTGTGTTAGTCGAGTTTGAAAAGATTGAGTTCGGGTCGGGTTTTCTAACCGATTTTAATTCTCGGATTGATTTAGATAGGGGTGGGCAAAAAAATCGAACCGAATCGCTGCACCGAACTGAATCGAATCTAATTTTCGGTTAATCAATCAAATTTGATTTGAATACAATACTGTATATTTGACATTTGTTCCATTTGCTTAATTAAACGGAATATACTTATATATTTATATTATTATATCTTAAAATTTATATTAATAATTTTATTCTCGGTTCAAATACGTTCGCTCTTTTGAATATTTGTTCGATTAAGTTTGAATATTAAATACTTGCACACGTGTCCCTCATTTTAGGTTGAGTGATTTTTACCAGCTTAAGATAACTTAAGATAAGGATCGACTCATTGTCGATGTAGTGAACCAAGGATATGAAATTGAGTGCCAAAGTTGAGGCACGTGCGGGTCTTGCTTTCACGTGACTTCCCTGCACGTGCAAGCACGTGTGGGGTACATAATCTGGCCTTACTTCACAACCCAGAATAATTTGATTAAATATGTGTGTTTGGTTACACAATTACACATTGGACTTCTAATTGGCATTAAATTTTCAATTTTTTCTTTTCATTTAAATTATTACCTCAAGTTTTTAAAAATATGATCAACTTGTAATCTTTTATTTTTGTCATTCATTTGAAAAAATAAAAATATATTTATATACAATTATAATCTCTTATTTTTTTATAAATTAGTTTATGTAAATTATATATAAATATATAGGTTTTTATAGTTTTGATAGGTTTTACTATTTATTTTATTAATATATTATCTTTGAAGTAATTTTATATAATATATTCGAAAAGATAAAAGGCAAATATATATAATTAAAATTATAAATATTATAAATTATAAATAATAGGAAAATAATAATAATAATAATAATAATATGAAACACAAAAAAAAGTTTGACCACTGCAGTAGGCTTGGGCGCTTGGCACAAGCAAGGCATCTATTGTGTACACCTATATAAGCGTAGAGTACAACTGTTTATTATGACGCTAACGAATTTTTTCTGTAATAGGAGTAATTTATTTTTATCACGTGCAGACTGACTACCACCTCTCACTTTGTCACGTGCATTTGATGGACCCCCGCGAACTAAAACCCTGAAAACAGAATAATAATTTATACCATAGGTTCCTTAGGAAATTCACAACAATCAATTCTTTCCCTTTATCTTCCTTTTTTAAAGAAAAAAAAAATAACTTTTAAATTACTTATCCAAATTTATGCTAAGTGAACTATTTAATAATAATAATAATAATAATAATAATATAATAAAGAGTGCAGAGTGGCTGATATTACTATTAGTAGAAGTATATTATTATTGGACAATAATATTGGGATTTGCACTACTAATCCTAATAAAGGGAATGCACTACTAAAACCTATAACAATTTTATTTATTTATTTTTTATGACGCGGGAACTCGTAGCTGCACGGGGTAAATCCTCGGTCGAACCTAATACCTTGCAAATCAGGCTCGACGGGAAAGCCACATTAGGCGAACCATGTGTGACAGGTGACCTGAGGCATCGAAGGATTGAACCCATAAGCTCACGGTTACAAGTCCAACCCATTTTTTGTAATTTTGTTTTTCCCCAAAGTGGATGCTAGTAGTGGTGACATATATGGACCACTTTAAAGTTGTGATCACACTAAATTGCATAAATGTGTGGATTTAAATATTTTAGTTATTTCGACTTGCTCTTTTTTTTCTCTTTTTTTTTTCAATTTAGTTATCATGCAATGATTATAAAAAAAAAAAAATTAAGATAAAAATATATTACTTCATTTCATAAAACATCACACACATATACATAACTCACAAGTTAAATAAAAAATTAAAATTAAAAATCACAAAGTAAACAAATTCCAATGCTTCATAGTTGTTTCTGTGGTTCACAAATACTATTATAATTAATCAAGTGGGAGTCATTTTATTGTGTTTATATATATATATATATATATATGATTGTTTCTCATGATCCCACCCAACATTTATAACTAACATCACATGTTGTCTATTATTAATCATGTCTAATTGAATCAATCATAGTAGAACATCTTGTCATAGTTTTATCTGTGACTATATATTTTTATAACGCGAGAATTTACAATTATGTTAAATTGTTTTACGCTATTATATGTGTATTAAAACGATCTTTATACATATATACATAAATATATAAAGTATTTTTTTTAAGCGTAAACGATAAAATTGATTTAACTTATTATACACTTTATGTTCGATTTTTTTTCAATCTATCTTTTGATTCCATTGCGATAATTCTCTTAAAATTTGATTTAAAATCGCTATATTAAGTAACATCCATGATCTCATGAAATAATATTAGAGATGTTCATGCAGTAAGTAAAATTCCTCGTTATCGTATCGTAGTTCATATACAATATTTTCAATTCGATTAAATTTTTACGATTTCTTGTAATATAAGTTTGATGATGATATGTAGCAACAAGAGCATGTGATATTTATTGACCAAATAGTAAGGGCCATAGCATATATAGCACACCATGTTGGTACAAACTAAATATCACCTTTCTATTGCCTTTGTTGTTATTACAATTCGAGTAAAACATACACTTCTATTCCAACCGACAATTTATAATAATTCAAAACTAAAATTCAAAAAATAAAATATGGGAGACAGTTCATCTTATGAGAGAAAATTTATCAATAGATACCGACAATATACGAATTATAATTCAATAGCAAGTAAATTATAAATAGAAAATAGAAAATATGCGTTATTACAATATAAATATATGAACCGACAGTATAGTAATACTCTTTCCGTTTCAATTTAAAATAATTTTTTTGTCATTTTCGTTTGACTTAATCAAATATATTAATTTCTTATTTTAGAAAAAATAATCATACATTAATACTAAAATACCTTTTAAATTTTACTTAAATGACAAACTATTATAAATACAATTATCTTATATACAAAGTCAAATGACAAAAATATCAAAATTTCTTTATGCACTTTCAGTAACTAATAAAATATTATTATTTCTTAAAATATACTAAAAAATCAAATATTGATTTAAAAAAAAAAATTAAAATTCTTATTTAAATAAAACCTATAAAAGGATTGAGGATTTCACCCTACGTATTTTAATCATACAAAGTTGTTAGTAATTTCAATCAAAGCCTATAGGATGATGACACGTGGAACCATCATGGCCGTGTTAGCTGTAACCATCGTGCTTAAACGTGGAATAAGGGAATAAACTGTACAATGCAGTAACATAAAATAAGTAATTTTAAATAAAATAATTAATAAAAATTTCAGAAATTGATTATTTAAAAAATATTATACGCAATTCCCGAGGGGCAGAAATTGAAAGAGAGAGGAAATACGGCTGCAAATTTGGACACTAATGGTTGAATCACTGCGACAAAATCTGCGGATCGATTCCAAAGGGAAGCCAACATTTATTAACGTTAATCTTTGTTAATGGCGTCATTAAACCTTCTGGAATTACTGTTTTGTCCTTCCGCTAAAATCTTTGTAGGATATAAGTAATTACATATAGGAAAAAAAATATTTTTGTTCTAATATAATAAAAATTCATCAATTTTGTCTTAATATAAAAATTTTATTAATTTGGTTTCAATATAATCAAAAACTCATCATTTTTTGTTCCAATATAGCCAAAATTCATCATTTTTTGTCGCAACATAAAATTTTTATCAATTTTAGTCTCAATATAACCAAAATTCATCATTTTTTGTCCCAATATAATCAAACCTTATATTTTTTTGTCTCACAGTCAACAAACCGATGAAAAATGCTGACATAAAAATAAATCAAATTTTATATTTATATATGAAAAAATTGCACAATCTTGCAAGTCCACGTCAGCATTTTCCGTCGGTTTGTTGACGATGGTACCAAAATAGATAAGATTGAATTATATTTGGACCAAAATTAATAAAATTTTTATATTAAGGCCAAAATTGTAAATTTTGATTATATTAAAACCAAAAATAATTTTTTCCCTTAGATATATTATAATATTGACAAGTATTGTATTGGATTTGTTTCTTTACTCACCAATTTTTATTTTATACTTATTCAAATGATGCTTTTTTTAAAAGGTATATATATATTTTTATAAAATATTTTTTAATATTATTTTAATATCAAATTTAAATCAAAATCTTTTAAACTAAATAAGAAAAACAAACCCTATTCTTATGCCATTTTATTTACGTATGAACACTAAAAAATAATAAGAGTTTTAATATAGTATGTATTTTTTACTTCTTATAGTATAAAATAAAAAAGTAATAATAAATGATAGAAAAATTCTATATTTTTTTGCTAAAAAAAATATTACAAAGTCAATAAAAAAGAACAACAATAGAGCAAATAAAAGAACAACGACAAAATAATGATTATTCCCTTAAGGGTGTGTTTATTTGGGGGATTGGATTAGATTTTCACTGTTCATTCTATTTTTTTTTTCCAAAAGCATCAAATCAAACATTTATTTTTTATTTTTTATATTATACTAAAAATCAATTTTACATTCAAAACATCACATCAACATCTATTTATATCACATCATACAACTATTCAAATTCAAAATTTTTACTGTTCAAATCCTAACTCAAAATCCAAACCCTCGAACAAACACACCCTAAAATAAAAATAAATGAGTAATTACATTAGTTAAATTAGGAATGATTTTTTTGTTTGTTTGTTATTAGAAATTCAAATTAAAATTTGGCATAATTATTGCTCCTATTATTGTTTTTATTTCTTGTGACGAGGAAGGTGATATTTTGGTTGATATATGGATTGACGAATTTGCCCCTAGTTTTTACTCATAAACGTAGCGACCTCTTCTTCTCCGCTTGTTCTTCACTTTCGACGCAAACGCCTGTCGAAGTACAGATTTCTCTTCTACTTTTGGATTGTGGAATTTTGTTGAGTTGAATTCGCGCATGGAATATTTTTCAGGCGAGTTTTCGGAGTTTTCGTCGTTGGAGGACGACGGTTTCAGCGGCGGCTGCAATTACAGTAACGCCGTGCATTTTGCGGTGGATGATTTGCTTGATTTTCCCAAGGAGGAGGAAACGATGATCGAATCGTTTTTGGACGGATTTCAGGGGAATTCCGGTGATTCGTCCACTGCTACGGCGGTTGACAGCTGTAATTCCTCTGTTTCCGGTGGTGGAGACGGCGGACAATCGAACGGTAACGTCAGTCGCCGTAGCTTCGATGAGTCGCAGTTCTCAGGAAACGAACTCTGCGTTCCGGTAATTTCAATTTCCTGCGCTGATTATCGATGAATTTGTTAGGTTTTGCTTCCTTTTCAGTATGAATTTCGTGAAAAAATGTTAGCGCTGCGTGCGTTTCGTGTTCCTCCTCCTAAAATTTTCACCCACCGACAGTTACGGATTCGTCCTTTTTTTGGAACGAAATGAAAATTTCTGAATAGTTTGCCGCGAATTTTGGTTGCAGAGCGGTTTGTAGTTTCTCTGTCTCTCGAAATTCATTCGTCCTGTTTTTCTGGTGCAATTTTAGGCATTTTTACAGAGATCAATCACGTAAATCCCTAATTTCATCGTTGAATTTACCACATCTCTGATGATCGATGATTTTGTTTTTTTCTATAATTTTCCTGCAACAGTATGATGATTTGGCGGAGCTCGAATGGCTTTCGAATTTCGTCGAGAAATCCTTCTCGACCGCCGACCTCCACTTCATCCCCGCCCCAAACTCCGCCGGCAGCGGCGCCGGCGCCGCCTCTTCCTCCGTCATCTCCACTCACTCACCACATCCGCCTCCAAAATTCCCCTCCGACGTTTCAGTCCCCGGCAAGGCGCGTAGCAAACGCTCACGCGCCGCCCCCTGCGACTGGTCCTCCCGCCTCCTCCTCCTCTCCCTCAAAGAGAAGAAAAAAGAGCCGTCGGAGAGTCCCGGCCGGAAATGCCTCCATTGCTCGTCGGAAAAAACTCCGCAGTGGCGAACCGGCCCTTTGGGCCCAAAAACCTTATGCAACGCGTGCGGTGTCCGGTTCAAGTCCGGTCGACTCGTCGCCGAATACCGGCCCGCCGCCAGCCCCACTTTCGTCTCGGCCAAGCATTCCAATTCCCACCGCAAGGTCTTGGAGCTCCGGCGACAAAAGGAGCTCCAGCAGCAGCCACAGCACCTGTTGATTAACCAGGCGTCTATTTTCAACGGCTTCGATGACTTCCTGATTCATCATCGCACCAACATCAACGGCCCAGATTTAAGGCACATGATCTGATCTGTTCTAGCTTTTTTTTTTATTTTTTTGTAACCCAAGTAATTCTAATTTTAATTTTAATTTCAATTTCCTAATTTAGACTTAGATCGTTCCCTAATTACGTATTTCAATTATCCCACTATATGTGGGGTGGGTGGTGGTGGGGGGGTGGGGAGTCTTAAGGATATGGGAATGTCAAGCACATGGGGTTCATGTTCAATGTCCTTTCTCTTCTCCATCACTATTGAATTCTTGGGAATTATTTTCTTGGCTTTACACACAATACATATATGATTATATTTATATATATATATATTCAAATTAAATTTAATATTGGCAGTGTGTTGTATAATTGTATACATATATATGTATATTTGGATCAATACGTGTCTTTTTACATGTTTTTACACGTACATTTGAAATATGTTTTAAAAAAACCAGATGTAATTTTGAAATCAAATTTGTTACATCTTGTCCTTTACTCATTAACATTCTAATGAGACATAGGAGTATTGATTTTTTTTTTCCCCAAATTTAATTTTTAATTTGCTACTTTATTTACTTGCATGCTAGTTTAATTTGATTTCTTTACTCATCTCCATGTTGGTCAATTTCTACAGCTCTTAAATTTGTCATATCCATTGCCATTAGGTCTTTATTATGCAATAAAAGAAATTAATGAGGATTTATTTAATTTCTACTATGTGAATAAATTAGTCTACGTACAGATCTCCTAGTTGCATATAAGGTGTACTTGTCCGGGTCAGACTATCCATTCAGAATTTATCGACACTATGTTCATAATTCCGATCAATATATGAAAATATTGTATATAACATAACAATATAAAACAGTTTTATTTTGTAAGTGTACATAACGTTTATATTTAATTAATGTGATCTTTTATATTATTGTGCTAATCGTATTTAATAATATCGTAACCACAACCAAGACGACCTACATATTGTTTGAATGAATATTTTTTATGTGAGGTACAAAAAATTAATGTAAGTAGTAGAAAAATAATGAGGACGTATAATATTCTCTCTGTCCAAAAGAGACGTCTTATTGGGTGTTGACACTAAAATTAAGAAATAATAGTATTTAATTGAAAGTATTTTAAAAAGTACGATTAGAGTAATAATTATGGATAGTTTGGAAAAGTACGAATAATTTTGTTATAAAATGGAGACCACTGTTATTAAATAAAAAAACATAACAATTGTTTTAGGACGGATAAAAATAAAAAAAATAAGACAATCCTTTTAGAACGGATAGAGTATATTACTATTTTTTAATATATATACATATATTGGAAAATTTTTACAAAAAGAACACCCACAACAACAACAATCATAATTTATATATTGAAATAATATTTTTAAACATTCTTTTCCATATTTATTATACTCTCCATTCCATTAGAAATACTATTTTTTTTTTATCATTGTTGTATGTTTCACTCAAAGTATTTATTTTTTACTATAGTAAAAATTAATCACATACTAATAGTAAAATACTATTATTTTATATAAAGTACAAAAAATATATATATATATTAAAATCATATTACACACTTTCATAAACCAATAAATTAATTATTTTGCTCATTTCTAACGTTTAAATATTTCTATTTTCGTACATCCAAATCAAATGTTTATATTTTTCTTTTTAATAACTATGAATCTCACCACTAACTAACTACTAAACTTTTATTTTTTACACTTATATTTATTTATCATTTTACCCTCGTTATGCAATTATATGTAAAAATAAATACAATTTAGTTTTTTATACTATTATATTTGTCAGCTATTATTAAAATATTAATATTTTTTTATTTGCACATAAAAAGTAAATGTAAATGTTAAAACTGAATGGAAGAAATATTATTATTTTTTAATTTTCTATAAAATTCTAAGGGTGTGTTTGTTTGGGGGATTTGATTTTAAATTCACTGTTCATCTTTTTTTTTTTTCAAAAATATCAAATTAAACACCTATTTTTTTTATTTTTATATTATACTAAAAATCAATTTTACATTCAAAATATCTCTTCAACACCTATTTATATCACATTATACAACTATTCAAATTCAAAATTTTTACTATTCATAACCCCCAAAACACCCTAAATATATACTTTTATTTGAAACAAATAGATCATATAAGTATGGATTGAAAATGAAAATGCATAAATCACTAACTGAAAATTGTATTTCAAATTTTTTTGGTATTAAACCATTTTCATTTTAATTTAAATAAAAATTAATGTGTTATTTTATAAAAATAAGTAAATAAAATTATTAGTACAAAATATGAATATTGAATGTAAAAATAAATAGAAAACACCCAAAGTACTTGCAAGTACAATGTATAGTTTGTATGATGGATGGATGATGTGTGGTGGTGTGGACTTACATTCAATTCTAAGCATTACCACATGCACATGCAACCTCATAATAATAATAATAATAATAATATAGGGTGTATTTATATATCTATCAATATATATATATATATATATATATTAGATATGTAAAATTCTATTGATAATAAAAAAATTTATATACTTTTCATTAATATGATTTTTAATATATGTATTTTTATATTCTTTTATAAAAAGTTAAAATATTATTTTTTACTAATACAATTATTCATATATTATACTCTCTCCGTCCGTCTATAAAGAGTCATATTTACATATTGCGTCATTATACTTAATATTAAAAATATATAATTTTTTGTAAAATTTTTTTATATTATAAGACATTAATGGAAGTATTTTTGCAATTTTTTTTAATTTGTACTACGTTTTGATATAATAATTAATATTCAAATATCAACACGTAAAAAGTAAATAACTCCCTTAGAGCCGAACGGAGGTAGTATTAAAAAATACTTTAAATTTAAAAATACTAAATAAACAAATTATATATATGTTTAATTATAATTTAAAATTGATTTAAAAAAATACGTTGATTTGAATTTTTTGTTTAAATTTTATTGTAATTTAATATTTTATAAAAAAATATTATATTTTTATTAATTGTAATATAAAAAAAAATAATATTTAGTTTTAATTTGAAATATTATTACAACGAAGTGGTTATGGATATGATAGGACATATTAATGATGATGGATGTGGGCTATGGGTTATGGGCTTCTTGTCCCTTTGTTGTTTTTCTTACACTCCAATTATTCATTTTTGGACTGTTCATTTAAGTGATATTTTCATTTCTCAAGTTATTTTATACTCTCTTTTTCACGTACTGTCTGCTACACTGTAGACACTGTAGTCTAACAGGGATATAATTAGTAGATAATTAAGAATATATTAGTGAAAATAATTATTTTATAATATAAATAATTATAAATTAAGATTAAGATAACTAATTAGTTTGATTAAAATTTTAAAAAAATAAATTAAAAAATTTTAAATGAGATTAAAATGTGTAATTATTTTCCAAAAAAAGAGTGAATTAGCATATAATTAAGAATATATCAGTGAAAATAATTATTCTATAATATAAATAATTATAAATTAAGATTGAGATCACTAATTAGTTTAATTAAAAATTAAAAAAAATAAATTAAAAAGTTTATAATGAGATTAAAGTGTATAATCATTTTCCAAAAAAAAAATGACATGGTATGTAAGACGGACAGAAACGACATCGTGGACATGATATGATACGTGGGACGGATGAAGTAATATAAATAATTTATTAAAAATAAATAAATCTTGATAGTTGATCCTACATTTTCACTGCGCAATTCAAAATACTGAAAATAATTTTATAATATTATTTATTAATATAATTTATAGTGAGATTGAAAATGTTTATTTATGTAAATTGGGTATGACCCGACCCAATTTAGCCTTGTCTTATCTTTTGGTTGGTTTCTGATAAGGCGAAAAGACCATATTACCCATCCGTTTTGTGGGTATTTTGGTCATTACACTCAAGTTCGAAATTTGAAATTGTATTTGAGTCGAGCGTCCGATTTTCGTATTCGTGGGTGGGTACGAACAAAATTAGGGTTTTCCTGATTTGGTAGCTGCTGCTCTGCGATCCGTTTCACGGAGGAGAAAGGTCCAAGTCCGAGTCCGTTTCTCGGTTGCCATCGAGGCTGGTGTTCAGGTACTGTTTCTGTGTAATCTCTGTAGCGCCGTTGTAAATTCGTGTTATATAGTGCTCACTTGGCGCTGATGTGTTGGTTGTTCCGTAATTGCACTCTCAGATATCGATTCGCTGTTTGTATGTGTATTTTATATGCGATTGCAGCTTTTCGCTGGTATTTTTCCTGTAATTTGTGTTTGGATGTTCTCGTAGAGCTTGTGAATGAAGATTCGTGAAACATGAACCATTGGGTAATGGAGGATTTCGTTTCTTAGTTAGTGCAATCTGTTTGTAGGTTTGTTTTGGAAATGAGTAGTTGTTTAGCAGTTTTGATTTTTTATTTACCGATGCTGTCTGTAGAACATGCTTTAATATATGAATAAGGTTATTTATGAAGCAAACATGTATGGTTAAATGTATAGCAGATGAGATTATACTTGTATATCCATTGCACATTAACTACAAATATCTCAATTATTTGCCTTAATGATTAGGTACAAAAAAGGAAATGAGCACTAACATCCATAGAACCCCGAAATCTGGGAGACAATCACTGTTCTTCCAAGATTTAGCAACACCTGTGTCGTCTCGACGATCTGGGGGGAAATTTACATCCCCAGGTCAGGCAGCTGCTGTTTCAGCTCTGTGGCGTGAAAATTTTGCCAGCTCTGATCTTCCACCTCCGCCAGTATTCACCCTCGAAGACCGGGCGGATCATTCTCCGGAGACCGGGATTCCTGAATATCCTGCTTCTCCAGAACCCAAATCAGATCCTAGATCCCCATTTAAGACTTTAAGCAGGGAGTTTTCGACTCCTAAGAGCAGATCTGATGCCAGCACTTCGTATGCTGGAACAAGCAAGCAGCCGCAGCAGCAGAATCAGCAGAGCCCTATGGCCAGTTCTAGTTGGTGGTCGCCTGCGAAGAGTGGTGGTAGTGCAGAGCATGATGATAAAGGGAAAGGTTCTCCTGTTGAGGGGGTGGTTCAAACTGGTGCCTTGATAACGGTACCGCCACCTAGGGAGGTTGCAAGACCTGAAGTGAAGGAAAATTTGGTACCTGTAGGGAACTGGAATGAGGAGGAGTGGATTACGATCTACGGGTATGTTTAACTGTCTCTTATTCTTATTTTATCATATGTAAAGATGCTCAAGAATTT